TCCAATGAGCACATGTACTGTATCCCTAGTGTCCCTACACGAGCAGCTATGAGACCAGCTGCATCCATCTTATGGACGGGTATACAGCACACCAGTCTATCCGGTTATCACGATGTCCCTCTCGAGTAACCTATGACCGGGATTATTTAGGATATGTGTTTATAGGTGAATCAATCTCATTATCGTGATCTCATCACGATCCGATTCCCATTGCACAAATCCAAGGACATCACAATATATATATGCATTTATGCAATAGTAATAAAGTGATATACGCCAAAATATAATAAGCAAAAAGATTCTGTATCAAGTCACACGTGCCATCACTCACGTGATTGGCTTGCTGGGCACCTATGACTAGCAACCCACCCATTCACGCACCTCCTTTTGCACTGAGCAAGTGTTACTGCTTTTGCACTATTTACTATTTAGGTATTGTAAGGATTGGAAAGTAGATGTTTTTTTAATTTTTTTGAAGTTCGAAACAGAACCACTGAAGAGCTGCAATCTTTTGATTCAGATAAAAGAATCAAAATCATTGTTTGCACACCAGTGTATCACCATAAAAAAGACTTTTAGATGAATAATAGCAATTAAGATGATTGTGTTCAAGCAGTTTATTGTCCAACACACAATCAGTTCATGGTTAAGGCACTCGGATGAACTTATTCAACCTCTTGGTACTAACATTGACATTTGATTTTGTTTATCATACCTGACGCAATTAAGTTCTGCTTATTGTCTGTTGTGTTTGAATCAGGAAGTTCTTTAAAATAATGATATTCAGTCCTGATCACACCTGAACCAAGTGTAATTTACTATGGTTCTATGCATCCAACCTGACCTTTTCTGTTGCATGGGTCAGGTATTGTTGAGAATGTCTGAGCTCATGATTCATGTGTTGTATTGACTATAAGTCAGAGCTGCTTGTGTAGCAGTGGAGGTTGATGACCTGAACTGCTGGAGTCCAATCAAACTGATCCCATGCCAGATTTTGGTACCAAATATATTTTTAAAAATTTCAAAACTACATGTCCAAAAAAAGTTCTCTATGCACCATTTTTTCCATTTTAATGAGCATATGTGAGCTTCTCTCTTATTCCTATCTGTCCATTGGGCTAGTTAACTTCAATAGCATTACACGTTATGATTATAGTTCTATTGCGTGGTTGACATTGAAATGAATATGTCCTGCTAATTAATAATTGCTATTGTTTTTGAAAGCCGCTTCATGGATCACTGTTGCAATATGGGCAATTGTTTCGGTACACTCCTTACCAGGGGTTCTTTGGGAAAGACTCTTTTTCTTATACAATATCTGATGTTAACAAGAATGTTGCTACTGCTGTGGTCCTTATCTCTGTCTTATGCAAGCCACCTCAGTTTGTTTCTTTACCTGTTGGATTGCATGTAATTGAAGACATTATAAGCCCCAAATTCGGGTTAGTTTTCTACTTTACTGCAAACTTTTTGTACCTAATTCCTGCTTTACTGCAGTAAATTTTGATATGTGACAGTGGCTTTCCTGGATTTGAAATTATGTACTCGGATGTGAAGCAAAATATTTCTCTTGCAATAAGAGCACAATCTGGTAATGTCTTTCTTTCTCCGATGCAAATGCAGCTTCAGCAAACAAAGGGAAGTTTGTTTTCAGCAACCAGGGATGATAGAGCAAGGAAGGACTTAGTAATTTCTGGCCATGTTGAAACAATTAACTCTGCTCTACAATTTGTCAAATATGTTGGGTAATATGCAGAATTTTGTAATTTATGTTATATTATTAGCATTATAATGCACATACTGCAGAATTGAGATCTCTTTCCATTTTGTTAATTTCTATTTAGAAAAGAATAGTTAGATGCTTATAGTCCATATACAGACCTTGCTATCCGACTTTGTAATTTAATGATGTGCTGCTGAATGCTAGACCTGTAATACGACAGGACAGTAAATATGATTTTTCATATGGTGGAGGTTCTTCAATGCTATTAATTTGAAGTAATTATTGCGGCATAATTTAACTTAATAGTAATTATACCTGGATCATGTCGTTGTTAAATAGTACCCTGCTTGGGTCTTTTCAACATGAAGTTGAAGGCATATACAGACAAAAAATGAAATATAGTCTCATATTCCTAGCATGGTTCGCATTACTGGGTTGTATCGGTATACTGACTAGCTGTTGGTATGGTATGTACCGAGCTATACCGAGTTATACAGAACATACCGACACACGGTACACTGGGGTGTACCGATGTACTACCCTTACCGATCCTCTGTTGGACCGGTATGTACTGCTTGTATTGAGCGATACGCTTCGTTACGTCAAACCTTGTACCTAATATGGAAGCTTCCTTAGCATAAGTAAGATTTATCCCTTTTATGGTTGTTCTTTAACAACTACGTAACTAAAATCAAGAGGCTGTGGAAAAGGGAAATTTGGCAGTGGCTCCCTCACAGTTTACTGGGCACTTCTATCACTTAGCAGTTAATTGGCAAAGCAACAAATTACAGTGAGTGACATCAACTGATCATGATAATATGTAAGCATTTTTTCCTCGATGTTCATTAATATTCTTCATGTAACATGTAATTTGACTTTAGAACCTTGCTTTTCTTTTTTCTTTTGTTATTTTTTAATGGAATCATTTGACTTGGTTAAATATGGAAGCTTCTTTATTTCAGTAGGTTAAATTAAGTGCTCAGGATTTTAATATTTTATCTTGTAATGGTTCTGTTTGCTTCCATGTAGTAATGAGAACTTCTATGGAAATGATATTATCACTTTGCATGCCATGAATGAAAATGGAGTACAGGAAGCTCGTGTTCCAGTTTTTGTTGAGCCAATAAATGATCCTCCTATTATCAGTGCTCCTAAATTTATCAGTTTGGCAAGGAAGGAAGGAAACAATGGACTGCAGATTTTTGACAAGCAAAGAGATGCGTTTGAGTTCTTAATCATGGACTCGGACATTTTCAATTTTGTTGGTAATTTTTTTTACTGAAGAAATTCTGGAGTAATTATGCACCGTAGAAAGAATTATTTCATTAAAGTTACAAAATTGACAAATTTAACAAAAGATAACTAAAGTAATTAATCAAATTAGGAATGTACTTTGAAGTGCAGAAACCTAACACCTATACTTGTTCCTTATCTTAGGAATTGGGATGACAGTGGTGATTCTATAATATGAAGTGAACAGCCATGGTTAAATGTCTCATATTTGTGGACTGATGATGCTTGAGGCCTTGAATACATCTAGATCATATACTGAATGTATACAATATTAGTTTCTAGAAAATTAAGAAGAATAATGCAGCTTGGACTTTGTATCCATCACCAGCTGTCTGATATGAATTTGTAGATGTCAAATCAAAAGTTTACCACATTGACATCTTAGATCCAATGAAATTGCAAATAAATTAATTGTAGGTTCAGAAATTCAGTTTTGCTACTGAAATATGGTTTGTAATGACAAGGATATTTTTTGGCTGTACTACTGCAGAAAGACTGATACAATTGTTACTTGATAAGTCCAGACCCATTGAATAACTAGAATTGGATTTTGCAGTCAAATCTTTATTCTTCATGGTAATAAAAAATTTAGATTTGTACTTTACTAGACGAGGTATATGAATAAATTTTTATTTTGATCTCAAATTTCAGGTAACAAGTCTCATTTTCGGGTCATGTTGTCCATGGAAGTAAATGATGGGACCATATCAACTACTCTGCCAGTCAGTCTTGTTAACACAGCTGAACTGAAAATCAAGGGTAGCAACCAGTGGCAGCCTCTTCAAACTTTTGTGACAATATCCAACCATTTTGTACTTAAAGGAAAAGGAATTAGGTTCCATGGTTCAATTGGTGATTGCAACAACGCAATACAGCGGTTGTTCTATCAAGTAAGTTCAGAACACTATGCAAATTTTACAGCTTAATATCATGTTATAGTAGGCATATTGTGTGGCTCTAATTCCTTTTTGTATTATACATGTCTTGAATCTTTTTAAAAATTAGGTCAAAGAAAATATATATCTTAATTTTTTTTCGTATCAATGGATGAAGTGATGCCTCAATTAGTTCCACATTATAAGTTGATGGTGGATTGTGTTGGTTTATGGAGGCTAGATAGGATATACTAATGGTAACTTAAGATTAAGCAATTTGGATCTTGGGGTTGATGATTTGTGTCCAGTTACTGGGCGAATGAGCCTATTGAACATCTCTTTTCAAAGTGCTTCACATAAGTCCAATTTAGAAGTGATTTTTTACTTCAGCATGACTTGCATTTGATTGATGCCATAAAAAAGCACTCAAACTGGTGCTGCAAGCAAATTTCAGAAAATAAACATTTGGTTGATGTCATATAAAGCATACGAGAGAGTTATATGAAGTGCAAATTGTAGAAATTTAATTATACTAAAAAAGACATAGTCTGCTCCAACAAATCCAAGAATTTAAAAGGTTGTAGTAGAGCCAAGTACATGATAATTGTTGGACAGGTAGGAAAAAACATCATAAACAATTCAATTGGCAGTTTCTGAAGATGGTGATATTGAGATGGATATCATAGTAAATGCTTGAATTAACTGAACAGTTTCGTATAGTTTCTATGGATGAAAAGACAAATGTAAACTCTACTATATGCATTAAATGTATCTTTATAAGATCTGTGAATGTTCCGATTAGATGAGCCAAGTTAGGAGGTGGTGCCAAGTGGCAAAACGGAAGCACTGAGACAAATATTAGATTCAGTAAAGAAAAAGGTTGTGGTTATTAATTAACTAGTGCTATTTCCCTCAACAAAGCTCAATGATTAGTATTTATATTATCATAAACAATTTCTTAAACTTCAAGAATATTTTCATAGAACTACTATTAGAATTATAGAAATTTAATTATACTAAAAAAGGCATAGTCTGCTCCAACAAATCCAAGAATTTAAAAGGTTGTAGTAGAGCCAAGTACATGATAATTGTTGGACAGGTAGGAAAAAACATCATAAACAATTCAATTGGCAGTTTCTGAAGATGGTGATATTGAGATGGGTATCATAGTAAATGCTTGAATTAACTGAACAGTTTCGTATAGTTTCTATGGATGAAAAGACAAATGTAAACTCTACTATATGCATTAAATGTATCTTTATAAGATCTGTGAATGTTCCGATTAGATGAGCCAAGTTAGGAGATGGTGCCAAGTGGCATAACAGAAGCACTGAGACAAATATTAGATTCAGTAAAGAAAAAGGTTGTGGTTATTAATTAACTAGTGCTATTTCCCTCAACAAAGCTCAATGATTAGTATTTATATTATCATAAACAATTTCTTAAACTTCAAGAATATTTTCATAGAACTACTATTAGAATTAGGTTGATTATTTTATGGATCAAAATAGTCAGTTAGGCAACAAGGCATGACTATGGATTATGTTCAGATAGTTTTTAGTGTTACTAGAGAAGATAAAACTAGATATAATTATATTTTGAAAACTAAGAAAAGTTCTAACTGACTATTAAATGAAGGAACATCAATAACACAGTTATCAACATGATTGAAGAGGACAGATTTATGCATCTAAAAGGTGAAACAAGTCAGCGCAATTACTGGGGCATTTGGGCTCTTCTAATTCAGTTATCTTAGGCATTTGGGCCAGTTAAAAATCTTGGCAGCTGCTCTACACAACACAAGGTTGTTCTTCATCTTTTGCTGCATCTAATACCTAAATTTGAGGATTGTGTTAAAATCATGTTTATCTGCATTTTTCTTTCTGGATGTAATTCATAATCTGGTAACTAAATCCTTACGTTTTAGACATAATGGGAAACATAAAGTTCTGATTCATCCCAGAGAATAATTCATGACTCTTCTATTTACTTGTGAAAGTTGAAGATCACAAGAAAATTATAAGACTTTTTTTTTTCAGACTACAGAGAGTGATGCTGCGTTGACTGTGACTGTAAATGATTTGGGAAATCATGGATGCTATCCTGATTGTCTAGAGATGATGTCATTGCCGCTTTACAATGAGGTCACTGTTAATCTCTTTAAAAGAAGGCCTGTTAGCCAAATGGAAGCTCTTGGTACGGATTTTGTTCTACATCCTTTGGCAATGTTCATTTGTGATGTCAAATAAAAAGGCATATAAATATACATTTACATATACATATATATACACACACACACACATATATATATACACACACACATATATATATATATACACACACACATATATATATATATACACATATATATATACTATAATCTGATTCTCCAGAGGGCATCACTTCGCTAGCTTTTCTTTTTGTGCTGAATTAGAACCCTATTGGGAGGATTTAGGCCTCAATACTATTACCTCATTCAATCATAAAGGCTATGATGTAAGATCAGCACCATTGAACATGATCAATGTCATCCAGAACATTTGAAACCAAAATTCACATGATTGGGATATATTTTAGCGAACAAAAAATGAAAGATCTAAAATATATTCATGCATGGAACACTGATGACTTTATACTAACGATCCATAGAATTGATCATGATCTAAATACTCTAAAGGGGAATGCATATAAAAATTCAACAAGTTTCTGTCAGCTATAGTGTTGACCAAATTAAAATTTGTTGCCACTAATTTTTTGTACACTTTATGCTATGGTAAAATATTTTAGATGCAGAATTGTTTATTTCTAGTTTCTTTAAGTGTTGTAGATTGTGTTCAATAGAGCTGATTTACAATTTGGACTCTCCATGATTGATTCTAAGCAATATGAGTACGGTCTCAATCCTCCTGATGGGATTATAACTCCACTCTCTTTTTCTTATTTTGTTATATCTATGTCATCGGCTACTACATATATATAGAAGACAGCAGCAGAAAGAACCTAACATCTGCATAGAGTCAAGGAGAGAAATTAGAGGGTTTTAATTAAAGCATAATGGTAATTTTAGTCAAGTTGGAGCTTGGATTTCATTCTAAAATAGTTCCATTTTGCTGAACTCAATAAACAACATTTTTTATTTAGTTTTGTTACTCATTTAGCAAAACTATTAATAGGATGCACCTTTAAATCACTATTTAACATCTCTCTCCCCGAAATATGTGTTGGTACGTACCTTCACCAAATTCGTGGTGTCAGAATGTGTATCGAGTAGATTAGGTATTTATTTATTCAAGCAGCTCATATAGTTGGCATAGCCAAGTTCTTAATTGCCTTCTTTTTTCTTTGTGTTTACTACCTTTGCTTCATACACGGATTGTACTATTCTTGATCAAAGCAATGACTAGCAACTTGTGATAAATTTGATATTGTCTGTAACCGATATTACTTTTGACATATCCAGTGCTTGGGTCTGCAATAATAGTGGAAATCATCATGATGCTTCTCCTCGGCGGGGTGCTTCTATTCTTTATTTGTAAATGTGTGAATGCTCTTCATAGAGAAGGAAGTGATGCAACAATTTAAGACAAAGAAGTCCCAATCAACCAAACTGTAAGTGTTCTTCAATCTACTGTCCTCATATGCACATTCATTAATGCATTGGATGCATCTTTTGAAGATTTTCATTCTTGTATAACAGCTGAAGCAAGTAACTTGACTCTGCTATACTTTGCTGTGACTTGTTTGGTGTCATGCAGAGCAACAAGCATCACTCCAAAATTTGACATACAGAAATGACCGTCTTTTCTCTAAGAATGAACTATTCATGCAGCAGACCAGCATGCAGCTTAAATCGTCATCCAGCCTACCGAACTCGGTCCATGTTGCCGAGCATCTGCCATGCATTACGGAGCATGAATCACGACCTCTTTGTATCTGTATCTTGATATTATCCTATGAAAAATTGAACTCCTTTATGCTACCATGTGATCAGCAGAGTCATTTAATCCAATTATATACAATGCGTAAATGCCCTCATGATTTTGTTATCTTCTTTGAGCTGTATGCTTTGAAGTCGCGGACGAGTGGTGGTCAGTTTGACTGTGTTAATGTATATAACATGCCGTTGTAACACTTCATATATTCTTAATTAGACATATCGAAAGAAACAAAAAAAAAAAGGCTGTAGTTGGACTCATGTTTTATAATATATAAATAGAAGGAAAACTAGGCACAATTTACCTCCCAAAGCTTTCCACCCAGATTCTCAATTATCCACGTTAAAAGAAACAAATATATTAATTAAAACCATAAGAAAAGTTAGTTAGTCTAAAACAATGATTCTGTTGTTGGGGACCTGAACTCTGGTCTCTCAGGTGAGAGAGCCCAGTATGGATGCTGCAAGTTGTACTAAAGCTTCTTTGATAATAATTATTATCGACACAATGTCGCGACTTGTGGGACCCATGGAGGCTTCATTTACTCTCTCCAACAACGCCGGTAGGTGGAGCGGGTAAACGTCAGCAAAGTCTATCTGTCAAATAAGAGATATACGACATAGATAACGACATTCTTACTGCCATCAATCCATGCCGATCGTCTTATCTTTATTCGTACCTCGAGCGATGGCGCGTGTCCGCCTTCTGGCGATTGGCTCCAGTTGGCACCACCATTCACCTCTGCTGCTTGCGTACAGATAAGGGTTCCGCGGACTGCCCAGTAATTACGGGGTGATGTCGCCTCAAATTTGCAGGGGTGATTCAGTCCGCCCGAAGAGCTGTGTTCGTCCCCGTGGCGCGCTTTCTCCATACAAACTTGCCCTCCTCTCTCTCTCTCTCTCCCTCTACATATATAAAGCACGAGGAGAGAGCTCAAATCTCGCCGTCGCTCTCTCGATCACGAGAAAGCTGAAGAGAAGCCCTCGTTGATAAAAACTCTTCCCCTCCGCCCTCTCTTTCCCTTCCAATCCGGGATTCCGGATCCCTAATCCTCCGTTCCAGTCCGACCGAACCGGCTTCCATTATCGTCTGTATCCTTTCCCATCTCTCTCGATCCCTTTCGCGCCTTCGATCCTCTCGTGTTCTTCGGTGTTTGTTTAATCCCAACATGGATCGATTTCTGGGGTTTGATGTGGCAGGGGTCACCGCTGGGAAGAGAGCGATGGAGAGGAAGAAGTACCCGATCCGCGCCGAGGATTACCAGCTGTTCGAGGTGGTGGGGCAGGGGGTCAGCGCGTCGGTCTACCGGGCGCTCTGCGCTCCCCTCGACGAGGTCGTCGCCATCAAGATCGTCGATTTTGAGAGGAACAACAGCGATCTGGTGCGTTTGATCTAGTATTGACAATCATCTCGGTTCTTTACTCTTACTGTCTTTTGATTCGAGGAGAGAAATCGATCGGTTCATTGAGAATTGGTTCCCGATTTAAATTCAACAAACAATTTCATTATTGACTTAATTTCATGAATATTCGGTTGGCTATTCGCCAAATGAATAGATTCGTTCCTTCGTGGTATACCGATGATCAAATCAAATGACAATTCTTGCTAAAATATATCTGAAATTTTGCTTATGGCCGATTCAACTTTGCTCGTACATTATGCTGTTAATTTGATTTGACTAAGTTTTACCTTGGAATGATATGCAGATTTGAATATTTATATGTACCTTATAATCGTGTTCAGCCCATGATAAAAGAATGCGAACTGTTAGGAGATGATCCTCTGGTAGAACAAGTAGTTTAATGTTGTATATCATGTATTTATATGTTGATTTTTAATTCTAGAATTATCATTTGCATCCACATTTATTAAAGTTTCTAAATTTCAGTTCCTTGTACCATAATGAATTCAATCATGTCCTGTCATCCTTCTCTTTAACAATTTTCTGACAACTTCATGCAGTAATCATTTTTTCTCTGACAGTGATAGATGTGACCAAAAAGTTTAGCATCTGCTACTTATTGTTAATCATTTTATTTGCATGTGGTGGATAATACAACATTACAACTAAAACAAAACATGTTTCTATTGGTTCTGTGTCATTGTTTATGTATAATCCTAATTCACAGGGTATATTCAGGACATGTGCCATAACTTTGTCTACTTTATTTGCTAACCATTAACAGCCTCCAAATTTATTTGCTAATCATCAACAACCTTCAAAGATTTAGATTACTTTGCATATTGTCATGTTGTCTGACAAATCTTATAAATAATTTATCAATAATGTTAGTACATTTGTTGTCTTTTCTTGCACTAAATTGTAATTAAGCTATTTCTATATGATCCTTTCAGAGCAACATCTATCGTGAGGCACAAACTATGATCTTGATAGACCATCCTAATGTTCTCAAGGCACATTGCTCCTTTGTGAATGATCACACCTTATGGGTTGTCATGCCTTACATGGAGGGAGGATCTTGTCTTCATATAATGAAGTCTGTCTTTCCCAATGGCTTTGAGGAACCTATGATCGCAACAGTATTACGTGAAGTACTGAAAGGATTGGAATATCTTCATAATCATGGACACATTCATCGTGATGTTAAGGTATGACTGAGTTGATGCATCTTTACATGGACTTAATGGACTTTCTTTTCACCTGTTTGTCCTTATAATTATTTCCCTATATGTTTTTATTTTGACTGCCAATTGTATAATGACAGATCATGTCATCTAGTAGTAAAAGATAGATACCAAGGTTAAAAGATGTTAATATAATGAATAAAATGTGCTTTTTCACTATGGGTTTATTTATCAATTTTTTCTCTAAGGAAATTAAATTTAACTTATTTTATTGCATATATAGGACAATATAAATTTTGTGACTTTTGTTAATCGAATCATAGAAACATGTATCAGATCATGTTATGCATATTTATTTGTTATTAAGTAATAATAGAAACATTTGATAATACAATATCTTCTAATAACTATATATCAAAAATCATGTTCAGTATGTTGTTCTAAGCTGTAACTTCAGAATAAGATGTCACATTAGCTTGATTATATTATCAAGGGCATGCAAAGATGTCACACACCTTATTCACATGATTTTGTGAGACATGCAAATTAAATTATATCTTTGGATGATAGAAATCATTTTGTGTTAGTTGGTGCCATAAAAATTTATGGGTTTTTCATGATATACTCACCAAAATGGGCTCCAGATTAGGTTTAACAAATTGATATGTTGCAATAGCTCTCTTTGTATGTTTTTGCTACTAGATAATGAACTGCTCTATGCTGATAAAGCACACAACTAGCCTTGGTGCGAGATTGCTTCATTATCAAAGCTTATGTAGCTTTAGAACCTATTCTATCATATAACCAAGTCAATCTTAACCTTGTTCAAATTGGATTTTGACTAACCTTGGCAAGCCTGGAATGTGTTTTCTTAAAACTTGTGTAAGATGTTGATTCTTGTGCTATAGTAAATTTTAGTGATGTATACCTCAAGAAATTTTTTTATAGGTTTTTATCATAGGTATTGGTGTGCATAATTCAATTATCTTCTCATGAAACATTGATATGCCAGTTTTGTGCCATTTTTTAGGCTGGCAATATTCTAGTTGATGCAAGAGGTAGTGTCAAGCTTGGAGATTTTGGTGTTTCAGCTTGCCTTTTCGATTCGGGTGATAGGCAAAGATCAAGGAATACATTTGTGGGAACACCTTGCTGGTGCAATGCTATTCTAATTAGAACTTTTTGTACGATTATCATCTAATATCCTCTGATTGAAAGTTGTGTTATTCTTTATATAGGATGGCACCTGAGGTGATGGAACAACTGCATGGTTATGATTTCAAGTTGGTCTACTTTCTCATTGTTAAGTCATTATTAATTATTGCATAGCACTTATTACAAATTAATGGCAGGGCTGACATATGGTCTTTTGGGATTACTGCTTTGGAACTCGCTCATGGTCATGCTCCTTTCTCAAAATATCCTCCGATTAAGGTATGACTTCTATCAATTTGGGATGTGCATCATTTGTCTATTGTATTTTTAATATTTTCAATGCTAAGCGTCAGCATGGGAACTCTGGACTATTCTGTTAAGTTTTCTTTTCATTTTAGTTATCCCTTATACGGATAGCCAATAGCAATTGGAAGTTATCATATTAGTAAGTTTCATTTTTATTTATGAGGCAGTTATTAAATCAAGTCACTTGGCAGGTCTTGCTAATGACTTTGCAAAATGCTCCTCCAGGCCTTGACTATGAAAGAGACAGAAAGTTCTCGAGGGTATCATTCTATTATGCTTGATTGCATTCTTCTTATGTGGATGAACATCCAAAATTCTTGAACTCCACTTTTGCTGCTAGTCTTTTAGGGACATGATTGCAATGTGCTTGGTGAAAGATCCTTCAAAAAGACCTTCTGCACATAAACTGTTGAAACAACCATTCTTTAAGCAAGCTAGGTCTCAAGACTACATAGTACGAAAGATTTTGGATGGGTTGCCTACTTTAGGTGATCGCCATCAAGCCCTGAAGGTAGTGAATTGTGATACTAGTTTACCTATAGTTAATTTGGCATTAAAGTTTTTCATAAAGATTTTGCATTAAATATAGGCAAAGGAAGAAGATTTGCTTGCACAGAAGAAAATGCTTGATAGTGAGAAGGAAGAATTATCACAGGTTTGAGTTTTCACATCCTAACCTGAGTTAATTGAAAGCATTTTTCTCTTTAAGTGATTCAGGATGAAGGAAATGCTTTGAGCTTAGGTTCTCTGACTTAATTATGTATCATATACCTATTTCTCTTTCCCTCTGCTCCAAACAATTAAAATATAAATGCCACTATGATGAAGCTAATACGTTCTTTTGATAAGATAGTTATTTTACCTTCTGCTCCAAGTAATTATTTTATCTAGATTTTTAAAGCATTATGCTATTAGAAAGTAATTTTTTTATGGTGAATAGATTGGATTAGCTATTAAGTACTTGTTATTATATGAAATGCATTAAGCTTTCATGGTAAAGAGTTTGGGTTATGATTCATGTTGTTCCATATGTTTTTTACTTATTAGTAGCCTTTGATTCTTACAAAGGTCTCTGTTTTGTTTATAGAGCGAGTATAAAAGAGGAATTAGTGCATGGAACTTTGATGTTGAGGATTTGAAGGCTCAGGCTTCATTGGTAAGCATGAGTCCCTCTGTTCCTTTTTATGAATTAATTGCACACTGTTTTTGTGAACTACAAGTGTTCTTGTCAGATTCCAGAAAATGAGGAGATCAGGGACTCAAATGAACGCCACATGCTTGAGATTGATGAATTGCAAGAAAGAATATCAGAAGCCACACCTTGTTTCTCATCAAAGGATGGAGATGATGATGCGGTAATTCTTTATCTATTTAATATGGTGCTATTAGGTTCATTGGATCTTCATTTTTTAACAGCATTCCAAATCATCAGAAAAAAGTAATGTCACACGAATCAACTCTTTTGTCAACTGATCAGCCTGGATGCAATCAAAGGTAATATATGAAAAACCTTATAGCAGCCACCCTTAACTTCTACTAAGTTTTGGTGGTTTAATCTTACATTATTTTTTTAAGGTAATCATACTTACAACTAGTTTTGAACTCTGTTACTATCAAATTCATTACTTTCTTCTTTTTTCTCTCTCAGAAGCAAGTCTGATGGATTAAACAATGAATTTAAGACTGCTGGTTCTAGTGATGGAAATGTTCTCCAGAAAAACTTGCACTTTAACCACGAGGGAAACAGTTCTAGTGAAAGTTGCAGATCAGATTTTGATGAAAAGCGTAAAGATAATTTGTTTTCTCAATCTTTTCATGAACGGAGGCATTCTGTAAATCTGTGTTCAGCAGAACTTATCCCCTTATCAAAAGGAGAGAGGTTTGATATGTCCTCTACGGAATATAGCATAAGAATATGTGCAATAGTTCTGTTATTGTTTGTTTATTTGCATTTACATTGGTTTTATTCCCTCATTATTGTTTGTATTGATGTCATGCCTTATATATGCAAAAGAATTTTCCCCCTCAACCCAACTTTTTTATTGTCAATTATAGTTTAATTTATTTATTGTTGTGTGAAGTTTACAATTGCTACTAGGATGATGGTTAGCATTAATGACATTTGCATCACATACAAACTTTTTCTTTATTAGAGGTATCTGAAGTGGAATATCTCATAGGATTTAGTCCAAACTAGAGACTGAGAGAAGCTGCATATGTGAAAAACAAAATATATGACAAATTGATGAAACTGTTGATGGATGGAGGAAAAAAAAAGGTGAAGTGATATTAGAAGCAGCAATTCTCTTTCTTGTTTTTCTTTTCTGAACTACATGTCAGTCCTCCTAGAAGTATTTATGGGTGTTTCTTGTTAGAATAATGTTTGCTAATATAAATCCTATTATTCCTTCATTTAGTGCTTGAAATGAATCCCTTTTTCGGGTCAATACTTAACAGGTCGCTTGTGGATTTACCTGAAACGTATAAATGAATCACAAGAAAATCTTCTATGCATTGAGCTATGGTCTTCATTTACTTTAACTAAGTTTTTGACCTAACTAATATCAAGTACTTTATAGTCTGAAGAAACAAAATCAGCTCTTAAATATCGGAAATTGCAATGGAGAGTTTCAGACGGTAGTTGACACACCTATTGACGTGGTGCATAAACCATCTAAATCAGCAGGCAAGCAATGTAATTTTTAGTATTTTTAATGTTTTTTAATACTCTTTATTTTGTAACTTAGCTAACAAGTTGCATTCGTAGGAGTAATATCCCGATACTTTGCTCTGATTCAGATATTCTTGCTATATCAGGTGCTGATGATGTTGATGACAAATCAAAGCATCCACTTGTTCAGCGGAAAGGCCGTTTTAAAGTGTTGTCTGATAAAATTGATTTGGATAAGATAAGCTAATAAAAGTTGTCTGAACTTTATTTCTTTTGGTTTTAAATAATTAATTCTGATATGGTTTATGACGACAACAGGCTCTTACACCTATTTGCCTTCAGAAGAGTCATAGTATGCAGGTTAGTGGATTACATTTTCATTTACATAGAAAAAGCATGCAATATCATATGAAATGGATTAGTCATTCCATCTTCTCACAATGGATAATTGTTGACTATGATTAGAACCAAAATGTTTGGGCCCTAATAGAATATCTTATGGAATAGGTAATAAAACTATATCAAAACCTCATAAGTGGTGCTTATTGCTGGAATTGATCAATTTGATAATTGGAAATATGAGCTAGTTCTTTATGCCCACTATTTATTGATGCCAAGCTTTTTTTTCATTTGAAATTTGAATATTTTATAAAAATGTGGTGTTGTAACTGATGTCGATAGAATACAGACAATTTGAATGTCTATGTTTATTCCCAGCCTAATTCATGAAGAGGAAAAAGAAGATAAGAGAATGATATATGCTACTTTAAAGTGTCATGACAATCTTCAGAGTAGAGAACTGAAAGTTTTCTATCAGCACAGGATTTTCAGTAATGGTTGATGTCACTCTTATTTTGCAAATGTTTCATAAATCACTTTTCGTAGACTTACTGAAGAGGAAAATGAAGACCAGCGATTTTTTTTTTCCAGCAAGTAAAGATTTTTTAGACTGTTCATAACTGTAGCATCATGAAATTCCTAGAGAAGGAATAGCAGGAGTCGCCCCCGAAAATATTTGTCTTGAAGGGATACTTTCAAGTTCCTGATTTGTTTGGACTGCTATTGGATCGAACTAGTCAAAACCATCAAATTTCATAGGGGTCCATCTAAGACCGGCGAAATCTAAGTAAGATGTTTAATTTCCACAATATCGAGATTGAACATCAAGCCATGCTTTCGGTACATTTCTGTTTTTATCTTCACTGGTACCAGCTCGTAACCCCAAAATATGTTATTTTTTTATTCAAAAAATTCATTTTCTATCATGATGTGTTGGTGCCCGACCGGTTTGGTGTATGCCGAGCATTGTGCTGGGTGTGCTACATGAATTTAGACTCTGGTTTTAATTTTGAAGCACGTAATTTAGCTATGATCGAGATCAACAAGGTTGCTACATCTCAGCAATGCCAATGTATGTTTCAAGGAGCATGAAACTCCTGATATTTGCTTTCTTTTCATCGGATGACTTTGCAAATTTGTTGAGTGCATAGGTGTTTTCTCAACTTCCTTCACCGAGCATACAATCATCAGTTGAAGCCGCATCAAATCTTCTTGGTTATTCCGTGTATCAGCATCTGCATTCCATTTTGCAGGCAAATATACTTCAAAGGGTACGAAGTTGGCATCTACTTTCTCTCCTAATCTGATGTTTATAGATCCTTAATATCTTCTTCCCTTTTCCTTTTGCAGGATAACATCCTTAGCCTGATGAAGCAACTAAGCCCTGGCGAGTTATCATCGACGTCCAATCCAGCCAGTCGTTCAACCGAGGGAGTCTCCATGTTGACATCATCGACTATATTTACGGAGAAGTCTTTGGTATGCTAATAATGGTTTTCTATTGTGAAACAGATGCATCATACTTTTTGATCTTTTTACTACTAAGCCTGTGTGTTATTTTTATGTGTGCTAATTAATAGCTTATATGTTAAGTCTTAACATCATCGAGTGTGCTTTATTTATGTGGTAGGACACTTTATAACTGGCAAGTTTAAAGGTTCCCATAACGGAGAGATTAAGACGCATTTAATTTTAAGAAGCATACATGTCACTCTGATGTATATAATTTTGATCGTCTCTGGTTCTGCAGATGGAAGCAGCAACTAAGGAGAAGGAGCTGATACAGGAGCTTTGTGAGTTGCAGTGGAGGTATAATAACCCGCACGCATTCCCTGGCTTCATAACACGCTTCTAAGCTTGTCGCATCTGACGCTTGTGCTTGGCACCGCAGGCTAATCTGCACGCAGGACGAAGTAAAAAGGCTTAGATTTAGAAATACTCAGTCCAGTGCATCGCATCCTCCCCACAATTGATTTCTGTAGCTGGTGACGAACTAACAACAAAGCATTTGTTCAGGTGTAAGAACAGAACAGGTAAACCACCACGTCCTCCATCGCTGCTGCTTCTGCTTCTGCTTCGGCAGCAAAGGAGGGATAGACGTGCATATATTATTGTAATGCCATTTCCACACTAGACAGATCGTGGAGGTGAGACAGTTTTGTATGTTTAATCGCTCTACACAACTCCTAAGGTTAATTAACATTTATGGTAACATCGTGGAAGTATAACTAACCTTCCACAGAGCATCTATGATGATTACGCCATAAAGCGTGGTAGAAATGCATTATATTTTCGAGGATTCATGCTACAACGCTGTGTCATGATGTGTGGGATACAGGAGTCAACCTAACGAATAGGCATCGCCGATGACATCCGCAACGCTGAGGTAACGGAGAAATTTAAGGAGGTCGCAATCTGTAGTGACGTTTTTTTTTAACGTAAAAGAATCGAATAAATGAAGATAAAGAATGACATTTTTTGTCGTTGAATTACAAAATGGAATATGAATTCATCAAAGGCCTCTTTCGATAATGGTTTCCACAGTGAAGGATGATGCAGCACGGAATAGAAATGGCATCGATACACGAATATTGCGTTCGAGCATAGAAAATGATAACTAAAATAAGCACGAGTAGCTTTCTTTTACCCCTTCGTGAACTTTAACTATTTATATTATTTTTTTTCAAATCCATACAAAATCGATTTAATTGAAGACTTTGGAATTAAAAATAATTTTTGTTCATAAATCAATAAATCTAAAGCTCTAAGTTTCCATTGGAGTAAAAAGAGAAAAAAAAAAATGAAAATCTCAAGCAAACAATCACGCTGGCACACGCTGACAAGGTTTTAATGCAAGCAGTGACAGAGGAAGAGGATGATACCTCCTTTTTATCAGCAGCAGCGGAGTATTGAGAGACCTCTGGAATGCAGCAGACCATCATCAACCAAATCGAGCAATAAAACATGTCAATACAGGAAGACAGGCATCTCCTCGGATCTTTTCCCAGCCCCTGTGCATTCGAGAAACATGGTGATAAAATGAATCACGCGGATGGTTGTTGTATCCGCAGCCTGCTATGTACACTACAGTGAGGAGTAAGAGGATTCACACGCTAATCTTTGCACAAGCAACAAGCTCTCCGGTCCATGAAAACCCATTTCCGTCTATCAATCTTTGTGCAATCACCTGTCGCGTTTTGTTTGCTTCACAAGTGTGCATAGACTCCTTCGAGTTGCAGTCCGACATCCTCTTTCCATGCGTCAGCAGTGGTAGGACCAAGAACGAGCACAGCACAGGATTAATTTGGATCATTGGAGACGGTATCTAATAGATTGACTTCACGCTCCAAGCTCCACGAGCACTCGTTCGACTTGGTGACATTTAAGCTGTACTCCCTGAAGTAGCCATTGCGAGTGATGATGAAAATGGATGCCCTGATAGATAAGCACAAGACAACAGTAATGCCGCTTTTAGTTGGAACCGGTAAAACCATGAACAAGCAACAGGTGGATTAACTCAAAATAAATAACCTATGTTTAAAACGAACTGTCCTATGGTAACTCCCGTCAGCCTCATTTATCAGTCCGATATGACATGTTACAGAAGTCACACAATAACATGATTGCGAAATCAAATCCATGTCTAGGAAACATGATTAGATCTAATAGCAAAGAAACTTTGTCTGTAACTTCATGTATCCTAAGGTAGAAAACCAGACACAATGATGTTGCCATTAAAGTCTGATTATAAAAGCTTTAGGTAAGTACCACAACAGTCATGCAATGAGTTAACCATTTAATCTACTTCGCTAAAATTGCACAAAGCCACACCGGATGTAATCCATCCAACCTGATGCTCAATTATATCTTAGAACTACAATGCTTCCCTATCTGTCAACAATAGATAAGTAGAGCAAATGATGAGCAGTGACTAATGCAGTGCTAATATGCTGCTTCAACCAAAAGCTAACAATATAAGTGAACTTGCAGTAGCTGCCCGAATAAAGAATTGAATTACCTCTTAAATCTTGTTTTTCAGTGCCACATAAACCAAATGAGACGGTGCTTATTCAATGGCTTTAAATATTAGTCAAATGATGATATACTGAGGCAAAAATAGAAAAAAAAAATAATGGCCTGGTCAGCTTAACATGCTCTAATATTTATGTTTCATATGGCTTACACATGTCAACCATGTCACGCATAGCAGTGATCCATTCATCTCTGATGAACAAAACAAAGGACTAAACAGAAAGTGCAACTAAATGAAAAGTCATGCTAAAGGCTCTGAACATTCATTCAGCAAAAAAACTCACCGAAAACCAGAAACTCCAGGAGCACTTGAAATATTGTCAATGCTGTGGATCCTAACATGGCTGAAGAAAAGAAAGGAAAGAAAAATAAGAGACTAAGCAACCAATTAACTCCTAGAAAGTAATGAAAAAAAAAATCCACGATAGCATAGTTTCAGCTTGACCTTTTGACACAGGCAGGGACAACATTGTGAAGAATGTGATGATAAGCATGGTCAAAGGCATCACTCAATGTGTCAGGGATCAAAGAACCAATTACTCTGTTTGGTTTTCTTCTGAAAAAAGTGGAGGAGAAGATGAGGATGAAGCACCAGATATCAAAAGCTTAGCAATTAAAAGACCACAAATACATGAGCTAGTTTCCCAGCATAGCTGTAAACTCCATTGTCATGTGCAGATGAATTCAATTGCAGACACACAACTTTCTTTCCAACCTTTGCTTTATTGCAGGTCCCAACAAGAAGGCATGCAAAGAGCCTGATGAGCTTGTGGCAACAAGAACTTCTGGTACATCAGCACATGGTCCAAATGATAGGGAATAGATTGTTGATGGATATGTTCCTCTCCGGAAACTATATGACTGCAGAACATCGAATAAGATTAAACATATATAATATGCATTTCAATACATGAGATCATTCCAAACAATCTAGGGATATCAAACTTTAGATTTGCAGTAACCTCAGTGGCTTGTGAAACTAGGTGCACTCTGATAATTGTTCCTTGCTGAGAAGCTGTTGCCAGATATGTGCCGCTAGAAGAGAATATCATTGCAACTAATGGTGATCTATGGGCATCAATCTGTTGAAAGAGTACACAGCTCTCAAAATCATAATTGTAATTTCCATGTCCCATTCATAGAAGGTTATTTATTATGGAAAATCAAGGACATCAAGAATTATTAAGCAGAAACATTAAAAATGCTGCAGTAGCAGCAGCAAGAAATAGATTAATCAATTAGGAAAATACAGTTAAGGATGTTCGAGAAAAAAGATCAGAAGCAGTCCACAAGATTAATACAAAGGACTAGAGAAAATACTGGTTTCAAAATGTCCTAAATCTTGTGCACAATATCAGGAAAGAGGAGGATACATGGCTCCATTAAATTAACAAGTCCATTTAAGAGAATATATGCTCTAATAGGTAAAATAAGCTACAAAAAAAGAGTGCCAAAAGATTCTTCGGAAAGGAAAAAGAAAAACTTATGATACAGGCTGAAAGAGAAATTGCTTAGGCCAAGGGATAAAACCAGAACACACTAAAAAGCAAAAGCCAAACAACATTCATGTAAATGGGAGGGAAGCTTATCGAAGCAGATATACTGCAACTAAACGCTCAGTTTTGTTTCATGGAATTCAAGTCTTCCTAATAAGTCAACAATGCTGTTTAAATCTCCCAATTTTAGAGAGAATTCTGTGCTTCTCTGGTCAGAAAGTTAGACACTTGACACCCAAAAAATACGAAGAAATGTTAAATGAACTTTTAATATGGAGTTTCTTTAAACTGGCATAACAACATATCCTTACTGATATGTTATGCTACTGAATTTACATAGTGAAAATGAATTTTTTTTTCGACAACCTGACAGACTGATTGGAGTGCAACTGTGTTGTAAATTAAAACAGATCCTTTAGTTGTACTTGCTGGAAGAGCCAAATAGCAACTTTCCGATCCAGGAGAAAATGCACAGAGCCCTGGAAAAGAAATAGTTGGCTATTAAAGACATGATAAGCTTAACCTGACCAATTATAAAGTATAAGTTTCTACAGTTTCCATAACAATGGATACTGGACAGAAAATGATACATCTAAAATATGCTTACTATTATCTAGCAAGTAATTATGAGAAAATGTATCGGAAACAAAGAGGATAAACATATGAGAAAAATATAAGGATTTACAAAATAACATACTCCTCTTTTAATAAAATATAACAGGAAAGAAAAAAGGAAGCAATTCAATCATTGACTTCTTCAATCTTGGCCTGCTATCATTTTTCGAACATGGATCAATGTTTCTTCTTTTATGTGATCATCTGTCTGTTCTTTGTTGAAGACACTAGAATTGAAATTTTATACTAAACCATGATGGAAGATACCAGGATTTTTTTTTTTCTTTCCAATAGTCTACCAACAATTTAGCATAACATGCATTGGCCTAGCATAATGGTTCTTATATTGCATACAACCGTAAACTACTCCAGTATAAACACAATACAATTGGCCAGTAACCACTACTTGATACCTAGTAGGAAAGTCCCAACATTATGTATAAAAACTCTAATATTCTGCTCGATGTGCAAGCTAGATGAAGTATTCATGGCTTGACATGTTGACCCAATTCAAGATAACAGAGCAAGAAAAATGTTTATAGTGCTTTGCGGTTTGCATAAAGTCCCATATCCAAGTGAAAATTTGGCAAAATCAAAGATGGGTTAGAGAAAAAGATAGCCATGATCCAACACAACTTGCCAAGGTACCATGATAAAATACTTTTTGCGTGACCACTATCTCCGAAAACTTAAGCTAGCAAGATATAGTCCACCCTATATATGAGATTTTACATGCAACACATGTAAAATGCTAGGCATTTCAGTATTAGGTCAAGAAAGGAAACAAAATTCAGGTGCTAGCATTAACAAAATCTTAATAATTTGATGGTATTTATAACAATAATAATGAGAAAGAATATAACAGGAAAAATAAAACTAATTATATAAATATGGCTTGGTCCAAGAAAAATCAATTTGCTTTATCCCACTTCCACAGCTTGTTAAATCAAACTTGTGAAAAATCTATTGTCAATGCAACACTAGCTTGTGTAAAATTCCAATGCAAACTAAAGTTGAGAATATTGTCAACTAAAGTGTAAAATTCCAATGCAACACTAGCTTGTTAAGAATATTGTCAATCATTAAGCATAGGGGGTTTCATTTTTAAGAAGATAAAACTCTGAAGTTGAGGCTCAAGTAAAGCAACTTGGCCATTGATAACCCATTGATAAAGTATAAACACCGAAGTTAGATGAACAGGACCATGGAAATCTAAGCTCTAAGATCTATTGATCATCATCTCCGTTAATAACCCATTGATTTCCACCACGACAATAGAAGGAACAGTGACAACATAGTGAAGCAAGACCAGCATTAAGGTGTCATTTCCACATTAAAAGGGTTAATGCTTCGAGTATTAGCAAAAAATTTGGCTTAGATGCTTCAAAAACATTGGCTTAGATGCTTCGTGGTGCCTTAAATAGAGTATTCTATAGAGAAAGTGGTAACATTTCTTTTTTCCAAAAAAATGACAAGGAGAATTGTTATGACCTTTGTTGTTTGGCACGGTATCAATTGTCTCCAGAATAACAAGGCTGTTCAAGTCATAAATATACGTTTTATCTCGCAAGACGACGATAAGCCTGCATGGTGTAGTATGATGACATTCAGAATATCATGAAAAATCATAAAAATATACTCTTGCATCTTATATATCAAACAATCAAAAAGCAAACTAATTCAACAAATTACAACTCCAAGCATACACTAATACAACTCCCATTGAAGGGTGTCAACTTACAAAGAAGCTATAATCACAAGGAAATGTAACATGTAGCTTATGCATTCACAAATATGCAACAGTTACAGGTACAAGTTGATCATAGGTACAGCAAGATATACAGGCTTCTTTCATGAAATAAGGAGCATATTTATGTACGTGAAATTGAATTTTAAAGAAAGTAAACATTTTTCAAGGAAATATTGCAGTCAATTTTGTGAGTATCCAGTCTAAAATATAGTCGGCAATGATGCAAGTCACATTGTAAAAAATGGGAATAACAAGCAATGGCATTTCTCATGCGCCAGTTCAATTTAACCTTTGGTTTGGTGGAACTTATTAGATAGGATAAACAATTAATAAAAATTTGGTTAGCTCTAATAATCTTTCCCTTTTAAGCAACTACAATATTTTCTCAACAAGATGCAAGCTAAAAGATAGCAATCTGACACACATAGCACCACAAGCATGTGTATGCATTCCTCTTTTACATTTATCAGCTTGATGGACTGCATATTTCTGAACCAATTTCTAATTTAGTCTAAGTAACAACTTTGTCATAATTGATACTAAAAAACAGGAAAGAACTATGAAGCAAGCTGGCTGCTAGCAAAAAAACTCTAAAGATGAATTGGCTTCTTTGTTAACAGAAGAATTTGATGTCAAATTGATGTGTGCTTAAACTTCAAGGCTTAGTAATTCATATATCATTCACTTTGTATCATCTGAAAGTCAAACTGAATGAAGAAAATAATGGAGCCAGTAGGGTAAAAATATGAATGCAACAAAAAATTACATAAAAACAAAAATAATAAGGCAAAATTTATGATATATATAAAACAAGGTAGTTTGCAAGCTTCTTAAGATCAACAGCCAACACATTATAATAAGCACTACAGAAAGAGAAGAAAGTTTCAGCTTAAAGATTCAAAATTGTAGGTAATAGGTGACATGTATATCTAAAAATGTTTAAAGGTTTGATATTTACAATTAACATAATCACTTATAGTAAATATTCACATAAAAACCATGCAGTTCCATTATTTGCATCTATTAGAATCTATTGTTGATTCTCAGACTGTTATATACAAGCTGCAAAGATCTACCTCAACCACTGAGGAGATTATAAAGGAAATGGTAAGCACAATGGTTCAGTAACAACCTTTTTCTGTTAAGACGGACAGCTACGATTGATGTCAAGAAATTTAACTCTCTGAGTGCAGATCCAGTCAGAGTATTGAAAAGACAAAGTTTCCGAGGAGATAGTGATGGCTGTTCGAGTCAATTCAAAGCATAGCCAAACAAGAGTTTGTATATCTGTAGGCCAATAAGAAGGCTCATGAAAGAATAACTTTAAAACAAACGTGTTCGAAGTACCTGCTCCCCTGCCCCAACTATAGCAAGAAGATTTGTGCTAAAAAGCATCTCAACAATGTTGAATGCACCAACAGCTGTGAACACGAAACAGAATTAAGTTTTTATTTCTGCAACAAGACAAGAATACAAACAAAGTACTCTCCTTATCAAATTAACAGTATCACATATCAGACTCTTGCATTTGATAATCTACAAAAATGATTGAACAACTACTTTCTTGTTGAATGTAATCTTACTGATAAATGTGGTTTGTATAAATATTCGATGGTTGAGCAACATCTTGTTAAACTGTGAAGGACCTTTTAATAGAAATAGTTTCTACAAATATAGATCCAGCTTTTTGCACACATACAGAAAATCCTATTTTGCTTTTGGCTAAGGAAATATTGTTATCAACCTTTTACTTGTACAATCATGACATTTTATTACCAAGCCTAGTAAAATACATGGTGTAACACTGAGAGATCCATTTATTCATCACTTTATTACATCACCATGTTGCTACCAGATTTCATGGATAGCCACTCCACTGCAGATTGCCACCTGGTATTATATGTATCATCTCCAATAAAATCTCTCCAAATTGCTTTCAAATACTCGAAGATTTTGAACATTGAGGTACGTTATTACAAAATTATACTTGAGCAATTGAATTAGGGTTTGGATATGCATGTATCTAGGCTACATCCATCAGGAAGTATGGATTTAGACTAAATTTACATGGATTTGAACCAAAATTTTGAACCTTGAGATACACAAATATAAATTTTATTCAAAAGTAGTGGAAGTACAACCTAAATTTACATGTAGTTTATTAAATTTACATGGAGTCTAATTTGCGATGATTTACACTAATCTTGAGCAGATTTACACAAATTTTGGCCGGATATGCATAAATCTATCTTAGATCCATGCAAATGTAGGTTGAATCCTATAGGAACTAGACTAGATCTTACTGGATCTAAGATAAACATGCACAAATCCAGCTTACATTTAAATAGGTGGATGCCAAATACATGTAGATCCAAACTTAATTTACCAATAATGCATGCTTGAAATGATCATCTTTCGCCTTAATCTAAGCAAAAAAACAACTCCTAAGAAACAAAAATAAGTAATAAATATGGTTGCAAAATTCAAATTTACTTTGAAAATTCCAAGTTCCCTCCCAAGAATCTGCCCCATAGGAAGAGAGAAATGCTCTAAAATAAAAGATATTTGAGAAATTTGATGGAGAAAGTAAGCAATTTGAAGAAATCTATAAAAGAGAATAATAAAGAAAGGAAAGGAACTACTAGTAAAAATAAAAAAAAGGGAATCAGATGAGGAAGAAGGGAAAAGGGTGGAAGTGTACCAACATTAAGCGGTAGACTTATTTTCTAGTACAACTAGGGATCAGAGCAAGACTGGGTAGTATGTCCTCTATGAAACTGGAACCTGACAAAATTGTCCGATCAGTATGCCGGCACATGTTTGGTGTGGATTGATCCATCCGAAACTGGAAACCTTAAGTATATATTTCTTTTTTTCCTCTTTTTTTAATGGGAAGAGCTACCTGGTTTCCTTTAATTTGTCTGTTGAGAACTCAGGTTGCTCTGATCAGAACTTTCAAGTAGATGCCATAACCAGGTTATCAAGCAGGAGTGAGAAGCAACATATTCCTTAGAAATCGTAGATTATGTTAAAGGAAGAAACAACATCTTAAATGCTTTCATAAGCTTACCCATCAGCGAGAAGGAAATGTATTGAATCAACTGCTGATGTCGTACAGCATCAATCAAGAACCTCAAAGCTTGTCTTCCTCGACTTTTAAAAAAAATCACCTACCAATTGCAGTTTAATGAGCATCCATTAAAGGAGCCATGTTACTCTCTCATTTCTCCCATAGTCCATACAAGAATTTAGCTTAATTGCATATCTTTCAAATGATAAAATCACAGTAAGATACCAACTTTGTTGTGATTTCCCAACCACAAAGAACTTAATTCAAAGGTCCACCAATGAATAAAAAGACTGTCAAAAGGAATTTGCGCGAACAACTGACAAGGAGTTCTAGATGCTTCATTTCAGTAGTAAGACATCATTTCACCAAAGGAACACCAACCTAAAATGATAATTGCAAATAACCTAGAAGTGGCCACTAGCAAAAAACTTCCAACAAGACAATCATAAAAGTAACAGGCTTAGGTAAATAGAGCATTAAAGACTGCAGGGAAGCATGGCTGGTTCTGTGATCAACTCACCTCTTTCAAAGCACAATCTACCAGTCCGTGCATCAAAAAGCTTGAACCCATCTTTTGTTCCAACAGAAAACCAGCTGCATCACAACAAACAAACAATGTATAGAATTCAAATATGCAGCCAAACAATCCCCTTAATTCTTCCGATGCAATCAAATTTAACAAAATCCCCAATATCAATTAGAATGCCAACTAGGTTCATTTCACAAAAGACTCGTTTAATCTGTGCTGATGTAACAACACAAAGTGAATAGGAGCCACGATTTACGATCAAAATACTGCCGATTAAAATATGGAACGGGAATAGAGCGACACACAAATAGAACACCATTGATTAAGATTTCGGGCAAAAATAATCGAGAATCCATTTCCGCTACGCTCTTGAAGGTTCAAAATCAAGAAGGCGTCATCCTAATCGAGAAATACACTAAAAATATGTCGCATCCTATACGAATTCTCCAGCAAAATAATCTCTAAGGGAACGATGAACACTTGAAACCCTAATTCAACCGTAACCGCGACAGGGAAGGTTGCGTGGGGGCTTCACCTGTTGTCCTGGTTGAAGGAGGCGCAGAGGACCGGGGACGCCGACGGGGAGGCCCTGGAGCTGCTCGCCATTTCGGTCGCTATCGTCGGTGTTTCGCGGGAGAAGTTGCTCTCGCCAAGACAAAGAAGTCGACAGGGTTGGATATATATATATATATATATATATATATATATATATATATATATATATATATATATATATATA